CCACTGCACATATGTACAAATAGGGCACTCAAAGGAATTTTTCCTACATATCTCTCAATATACTGATACTGATACTGACTGAGTAAAACCAAAAGCTGTTTAACGACACTACAGGGTCGTCGGGGTTTCTGAGGAGTATCTGCAAAAAGGCTGAGTCGATCATTCATATACTGCTTGTCTATAACTGATTGTTGTGTAACTTGTATCCAGCCACTCGTTACTTTGTAAAAAGGACAACAGGCCTATATAAGAACATTCATGAGACCTTTCCTTCGCGAAATAATTTAAAAGTCCCAACATAAGCATATACTCTGTACAGATTTGTCACATAGAACAAATTAGTATTCCAGTAAAATACATAATTTTTACATTCACTTTAATTCAAAGAATTTTGCCGCAAGCCGGGACCGAATCAACCTACACTTGTGTTGTAGTCGCGCACGCTAAACATTCGGCCACTTCATCACGGCGGTGAGCACTTTCACAAATTGATATTAACGGTAATGCTATTTGCGGTGACTGTCAGAAGTTTGTGATCATGCTAAACTAGCCCACGGACGAGTTTAGACAATTTAAAACTGCGTTACGAGGCAGTTTAGATGTAGCAAATATCAAACGGCTGCCTACTGAGTAATTTACTAGAAGCAAAACTGAAGATACCCGAAACAAAGGCATCCCGACAACTTCGGTAGATGATGCGACTACCGAAATACAAGTAGTAATTGTGCAGGACAAAAACCGGTCCGCGCAGAAACGAAAAAGCGTCGAGAGTCGCAAATCCGACGACAAGAAGAACAACAGCAATGGACAACCGACTTCGAGAGCTGCCTCGAAAGAACTCGAACAAGAGGTTTCGACGATTTCATCGTCCATCACAGGAAATACTGCGAGTAATCCACCAAGCACAAACAGTCCTATCGATTTCCTCACCGCAACTACCACTTGCGAGTCAAAATCGTCTGAACAGTGGATTTTGCCGAAGTAGAAAAAAACGGAGCAAAACTCAAGTGTAGCCAAAAAGCATCCACTCCACCATCACCGCTACTCCGCACGAATGTTTTGTAGCAGATAGTGTATAACAGCGTCGTAGACACGAAAAAGGCCACCGAGAGGGAAAAGTTTCATAATACAGGGACTATCCGAATCAACCATCACTACTCCCATAGACCGGTATTCCGAAGACGTGAAGCTCTTCCATGAACTTCTGAACAAAATGCTGGTACCCAATAAGTTAATCGAGTGGAAAAAGCCTTCCGCTTTGGAAAACGGCGAGAGAGTCTATCTCAACCAATACGTTATAGAACTTTTAAAAGCATCATGAACACTAGCCAGGAAACCAGGCTTATTCCGTCTAGGCGCTTTGGGATAAAAGATCTGGAGTGTTTTTTAAACAGGACTTCTCACCCGCAGAACGGAAACAACGTCGTCAGTTTGTTACCGTTCTGAGGCAGCGGCTCAGCGGAGGGGAACAAAATTTGGTTATTTACAAAAACAAAGTATCCAGCGTCCGGTGTTTTTACCTGAACAGGCCCGTTCCGGATGACTGCTTAGTCAACCAAGTAAAGGAAAGTTCGAGCCCGACCGTAACCACTCCCCGACCAAAACGCAAACTACACGCCAAAAATATATACCTTAAATTTACTTACACCAACGTACAGAGTCTACTATCCAAGTTGGATGAACTAAAAAGTCACATAGGTGGCTGTTTGACAACGTGCGTGACCGCGAAGTAGCACTACCTGGATTTCGTTGGTTTAAAAGGGCTAGAAGAGGGCTTCAAGGAAGAGGAAGAGGTGTAACTTAGGAAAAACATGGACTTCTACTCTCAGAAAAAAACAGAAACGTTTGCATGCAGCACCGAGGCTATCTAGCTTACTATGAAGGTACCGGAGTCGCCTAGCCTGGAAGTTTTGACCGTCTATCGACCACCAAGAAGCGATCCTGAAGCTAACGCTAATCTGCTAGAGGAAATAGCAAAATTATTTGCTCGGTCTGACGTCTTGATACTGGGGGATTTCAATGCTCCGCCCATCGAATGGAAGTCAACATACGCACTTGGTCCAGACGAAGCCTTTGATAGGTGTTTATTGGACCTGACGCTCAGTTAATGTTTCACTCAGCACGCCATATTTCCCCGCAGGAAATAAAACTGCCTGGACCTGGTACTCACGAAATCCCTGGACAGCATCGACGAGGTGCAATATCTCCCTCCTCTAGGTCGAACTGATAACGTTATTCTTCATTGGGATTATTCAATATTTTCGGTACCTGAACAGCCCACCAGAGTTAGAAGGAATATTCGGCCTAGTGACTTCGATCAAATGAAGGCCAAAATTAACAGCATTAATTGGGAATCCGCTTCTTCCGGCAATATAGCTGATGATTTCGAATGGTTCAGTGAGATATTGCATACTGTCCTCAGAAACCACTCTCCGATTTCACGGAAAAAGCTAAACAACAGACTCCTAAGGCTGACTCGAGCGCTAAAGGTAGAACTGAATAAAAAGCGGAGGTTTTGAAGGAAATCTCTCGCTGCTAGCAATTCCGTATCCATTAATGCATACAGAGCGCAGAGGAGCCTTGTGGAGCGACTTATCTTCGGGAAACGTCAGGATTTTGAAAAAGACTTGACGAACTGGGCAGTGAAGT